TATCTTTGGTGGACTAAATGCAAAATGACGACACGCGACTGAATGCATCGTCGATATATTTTTTTTATCACCCAGCTCACGTGTGGCCAACATTATGAAATCAGCCACGTTAACTATGGCACTACGTGCCAGGTTCGGGCATAGCCCTCACATCGGACCCTCCCATGTGGTCAAATGTATGGAATACGCCACCTTGGTGTGTGTCATAAAAAGCAAAATGCACGTCACTCAATCATGGCCTAAAAAACAAAATACACGTCACACCTAGGGGTATATCATCGGTCAAGTGACTTGAATTTCATGATCCACACGTCGCACCTAGGGGTATATCATCAGTCGAGTGACTTGAGTTTTGCGATCGACCCACCACTCGAATGACTTGAATTTCACGATCCACACGTCATACCTGAGTATATTATAGTATAATCTAAGTAGTTAGTAGTTTCCAGGAAACTACTAACTACTAATATATATTATAATCTTAATAAAGTATTGAATTTTTATTAATAATATTATATTTTTCTAAACTAGATATATCTTTCAAAATAGTATTATTTTTGATTTATTAATCAATTTTTCAAATAAGAATATAAAATATGAAGAAGATTTTAAAGAAAAAGTTATTTAAATGATAATAAGATAAACTTACCATCATGATATTATCATTTGTGTGTCATTTGGTGACACAGCTTGAAAAATTTTAAAGGTCAATTTTAAGAAAGGGATTAATATTAGAGTTGAGATCAAGTTTATATATGAAATTGTTTCACCAACATTTTTGATTAGTATTTCAAGCATCTTTTCCTATATTTCATATTTTTCATCAAAATTGAGCATTCTTATTGGTTTCGACGGGACACTAAGACACCAATCTGGCAAACAAACAAGAGATACACGAGGAATAACTTACTTATTTCTTGTTCCAGAGAAGTAATCCAGTGAATTTCAATCAACTGGGGATCCCAGTTGATTGGAAATTTACCTCTTATTCCACACTACTCAGGGATTAAATAATATATGTAGTATGTTATCTTGATTGGAAAGGATTAAAATGAGCTTGTGAATAGATTATCTCAATAAAACAAGAGACAAACATATAGAATTATATTATCGTTATACATGCGTTGCATTTCTGTACATGTACATGTACCAACATCTGATCATCACAAACAAAGTTTCCGTAATACACTCTCGTTATAGTGAACTCTCGATACATGTACATGTATAATGAAGAATTTTCTCAGAATCATAATAAATTTAGGTTTGATATAGTGAAGTTATATATTCACTCGTTATAAGCTATAGTGAAGATTTTCGCTCACCCGATAACTTCATTCTAATGATGTTTGAGTGTGACCTTAATGTTAACTATTTTACTTCCGTACCATACTAAATAGGGAATCGTCAACATTTTTTCATATAATAACGATAATACTGGGTCATATCTACAATAAAATGCTTTATCAATTACTTAGTATTGTTGTTCTCTTGTTAAAACCATCTCTCTTCTAATTATTGATTGAGATGTACAGACATCTTGAACATTATGTCCCCATTACGAGTATTTCTTACAGACATGTTACTGTTACTGTTACTGTTATTCTAACAAAGGTTTAATTTTTCACCACAAATGGAACTTTATCCTTTGTTCATTATAATTGTGTGTCACATTCGGTTATATTAAAAATTGTTCAAAACATCCTTATCACCATCCTTACATCTTACTTTTATCATTAGCCCTATATTTTAATAACTCTTCACTTGTTTTAACTCATTATTAGTATAGTTATCCCACTATTTTTAAGAGATTCCTTTCAATAAGTTTTCCTTTTCTAAATGGACGTAAATTTTGGTTTTTGCAGAGATTGCAAAAAAAGAAATACGAGTTTGAGATGGTGCCAGTCCTGTAATTCCAAGCGTTTGGAAGCTGACTTCCCGAACTGGACAAGTGGTAATAAAAAAATTGACGAGTTTCTTAGAGAAACGCAACTCACCGCAAGGTGCTGGCAAGAAGTATTTGAATGGATTCCTTATTCAAATATTATTGAGGTTGAGCTGGTTGGAAAAGGTGGTTATGGAACTGTATATAAGGCGAAATGGAAGGGAGGATGCATCATAAAGTGGATGCGCAAGGAAAAGACGTGGAAGCGTTGGGGCACCGAGTTCGTTGCTTTAAAAAGTCTCTACGGCGATTTTAATGAATTTATGCACGAAGTAAGTGAATATTTTCGTGTCACTAACTTTAATTCTCCTAAAACAGGGGACCGTAAAAGCCGTGTATCTACGTGAAGTGTTCAATACTATTAGAAATTGATTTTAAGATTAGGGAGAGGGTCAGAGTTAGAGTGAGAGACGAGATATAAAATTTCCTTGCCGACATTTTTTAATCAATATTTCAAGCTAGATTTATACTGTATTTCTTCATTTGTTGTCTGTGCTTCGGATTTGTTTTGCCGAGCTGATCAAAAAATTTTGTGAATCCTCCTTTTGATTTGTGTCTCGGTTTGATCACCGGATTTACACGGCTTTTATCGGTGCCCTAAAAACAAGATTGGGGTTAATTAGGTTGATTCATGATCTGCGAGAAATGTCACTGAATTTATAATAGTTCATTTTTCGCGGATCATAATTAATTATTCCTAAATTTGGGAGTGACCAATCCAATCGGATGATTATGTGTAACATACAAATTTCGACCTCGGTCAAATGCAATTGCTGGTACCTTATCTACCGAAATTTTATACTAAATTTTGTGTTACGGTTGGACTGGCCACTTTAAGAGTTTGAAAATGGTGGTTTCATAAGATCAATTCGACCTGAATTAGAATTAGGTTTGCCGAAATTTATTATTAATAACGATGAATACTCATAACCAATTAAATTTTATTAGCTAAAAACACTCCACCGATGCACTAGATTTAACCCCAACGGCTTCGAGTGCTATGGCGTCACACAGGATCCTATTACCCACAATTATATGATTGTTGCGGATTTTTATGGGAAAGGAGATCTCCGTCAGTACTTTCATTACGGTTCTGACAAACTTGATTGGTCAAAAAAACTAGATATGCTTAAGCAAATTGCGTCAGACCTCCACAATATCCACAAAGCTAATCTTGTACATAGAGATCTCCACAGTGGCAACGTGCTTATTGATAGCATTACATGCATTGCTGACCTCGGACTATCTCGGGATGAAAATATTTCACAAACTTTTACCGAAGTGAGCGGCGTGCTGCCATACGTTGCGCCCGAAGTGCTGCATCAACAACCATATACTAAAGCTGCGGACGTGTACAGTTTTGGGATGATTATGTGGGAATTCACTTCTTATCGATTACCATTTTCCGAACGTTCACATGACATTTACTTAGCATTAGATATTTGCAAAGGTCTGCGTCCAGACCCAATTGAAGGAACACCACCCTGCTACGTAAAACTAATGCAACAGTGTTGGGATTCTGATCCAAACAAACGTCCGACAGCCGAATACATAGCAGAGACGTTACAAAGCTGGTTTGAGGGTTCGGATGAAAACATTCAAAATCAATTTAAAACTGCTGACGAAGTTGATTCCATGCGGGAAAGACCATCCCAAGTTTGCGAGATACACCCATCGGCTGTTTACACTAGCCGCTGTTTACCGACTATTCCTCTTGGTATGTTTTTAGCATTGTATATTACTCATCCATTGTTTTTGCAAATATCTTTAATTTCCTATTTATTTTTTTATAGGCGACTTCACATTTTAATTTGATTAATTCAAAACAAAAATTAGATCATGTTTATAGTTTCAAATATTCCTTTATTTATATTTTATCACTAAAAAATCACCGTATACATATTTTTATTATTTAATCAATAATTAAGCTCTAATGAATGCGTTTTTCAAGCCACTCAGTAACTTCAACAACAGTGGCGATCTTGGCCAAGCCGTATTCCAAGTTCAATAGAGTTGCCTTTTTACAAAAAATAAAATTATTCTTAGGAATTCTAGAAAGTGTTAATTATAATTTTTTTCCTACCTCGTGCATCTTTTCATTCTCCGTGGCAGTCGCATCTTTAAGAAAAATAATATTATAATCCTGGTCAAAGCCTCCTAAAAAATTTTGCGCAATAAATAAAATTTCCCTTTTTTTAGCTTGCATAATAAATTGTATTCATAAAAATGAACTCACTTCTAGCAGTTGCCTCACAACACAAATTTGTTTCAGCACCAGCGATGATGAGCGTTTTGATACCAAGAGAGATAAGTAAGGAGTCAAGCTCAGTCTTGTAAAAAGCATCATAGCGCGTTTTATTTTTGATGACGAAGTCAAGGGTATCAAGTGAGGTTGAGGATCGCTGGAAAGAGACGAATCGAATCAGTTTCCGAAACTCCGATTGGAATCTCTAACGGGTATTAGCAAGACTGAACTGAACACTGACCGATATGAACGATTGCAGTTCTTGCACAATTTTCCACTCTTCTGATCCCCATTTGATGCTCCCATCTCCCCACTTAAAAATGTAAATTTTTTATTCAGGTATTTGTAAAACGCAGTAAATGAAATTAAATCGCGTACCCATCGTCCTACAGCTCCCCCATCGAATTCGAGATTTCTGTGACCATGTTGAGTCCAAAAAACGGGAATGTCTTTCTCGTGGCAAGTTTTAACCATATATTGCACGTTTGGAATAATACCAGTGATCTCTCTACGAAGAGATTCCTATAAAGGAAGAAGGTTTAGAAGAGTTATAATTTTTAGACAAAATCTGGGTTACGACTCACTTGCATATCAATGACCAACAAGGCGACCGTCTTGGGATCGTAAGGAATGGAGGTTGGCATTCTTTGGATTTTGAAGAGATATGTATATATGCGCCGAAGTTATTGAGTTATTGACTACCCGAAAAATTCTTTGCAAAATCACATGTTTATGTGGCGATGTGGCAAATTAATAACCAAGACGGATTATTTACGTGGATCACACAAAGAAAACATGTAATGTTAGCATCCATTGATTAATATAGAAACTGAGCAAATCTATCGAGCAATTTGCTTGGTTCCCCATATGTATTTTTAACTTAAACTAGACATTTTAAATTTTCTAATAAGAACGTTAATAAAAAACGCGAGCTACAAATTAAAAATCATAATTTCGATATAAATTTAACAGAAAATAAAAGCCGACTTGTTACTAAGTAGTATAACAAATTTATCTATGCAATTTAAAGTTTGTGCGATGTAGATATACTAGCTTAACTATCATTTGGAAACATAGATGAACTTAAGAAAAAAAAAATTACGGAAGACCGACGGGGCATTCGACACAGACTATCGAACTGTCTACGGTATCGCCGCAACAGGTGGGAAAATCGTTTCGGAATAGTTTTCAAATTGTTCATAAGTAATTTGTATAAAAATAGCAACCGATTGTTATTCATCCCTACATAGCACCAAAGACATATACTGTACGAACAAAACCGAATTGCGTAAAAGCATGAAGTGAGTTTTAGAAGTGATAATGGTTTATTAAAGGATAGGGTATCTGCTAGTGATGAACCCGCAACTAAGAAGCGTCGTGTGCAAGGAAAATTAGGCGTGTATAGTCCGCAGTCATGTCATTTCAATTTGTAAAGCAAAGACATTTTTCAAGGCTACGACCGGAATCATGTAATTAATTTTTCGACAATTTATTTTTCATTTTAATTTATTATTGTGCTTCACGTTATTATTGTATTAATAAAGCATTCATTCGGAAATTACTTTAGGTAAATAATATTTCGCATGGTAGCGGTTTGGGATGACGAATGGAGTATGAAAACTTCCGGAATTGACGGGCAAGAAAATCTAATTCATTTCAATACACAATTACGATAGTTCATATTAATTTCGGACTGAAACTAATTTGCTATAGTCACAAAAGGTAAAAATATTGTAAACAAGAAGTGAGTGCGGAAATAACCTCTCTAAAATTTGTTTGTCAACATGGACAGCACAAGTTCAAATACTTTGGAGAATCCTACAGAAACCGCGAATGTTTTCAAACTCGAAGCACTTTCATTAAATTATAATGGGAACATTTCAAAATTTAATCCGTGTTATATTTGCAAAAGAGACATCCTAACTTTTCGATTGTGCTTGGGTGTGGAGAGGAATCCGCACTTGTTTCCGGCGACTTGTTTAAAGGTATCAAGAAAAGTGATGACAGTTTAGAGGAGGATAATTTGAAGCTTATGGAATCGCTGGGATCATGGAAAATAGCTCTTCTGCTGGACAAAAGAAGCAGATGAACCGGACCACTACGCAAGATTCCTCATTGCAAATTCTATCACTATGCAAGAAGCCCCATTGCAATTGAGAATACCATTAGTAAGTAAGATTATAAAAGATAATGAAGGAAACAAAACTGGCATGATGCAATATAATTTGGAGAATAAAGCTAATAATGATATCTCGATGCAGAGAATAATACTATTCAATTTGTTCGTCAAGACAATCATCGAGGTAATCATCTCTAAGGATTTCTAGTGAACAAGCTATATTGCGGATTTGTCTACTCTGCAAAAGGAAGTTGATGAAATCTAAACAAAAAATAATTATGCTGAAAAAGGCATGTCTCAAGCCTATCAAGAAGAAATTCAGTGTTGAATGGTTCGAAAAAAGAGTTAACTTAGAACATTTTCCAGGCATTATCACGAGAGAATAAATATTTTCGAATTAGGGATGTTATCGGTTTGCTCAGGTTTGAAACCAACATAGTTTGGTTTAAGAATATTGAACTGATTCAAACTACGGTTGAACCAGATATTTAACCGATTCAAACCATGGTTTGAACCAGATATTTAACTGGTTCAAATCGCGGTTTGAACCAGATGGGTGCCGTCCAACATCCCGACAATCTAACTTCTCAAAATTAAACCTAACTCTTCCCAACTTCCTGAAAAGCTAGGTTAATTTCTGGTTTATGTATCGAAATTAGGTTTGTGGGAAGTTGGGTATGTCGGGATGTTAGGTTGTCGGGATTAGATTGTCGGGATGTTGGATTGTCGGGATGTTGGATTTTCGAGATGTTGGGGTAGACCCGAACCAGATATTAAACTCGGTTCAAACCATGGTTTGAACCAGTTATTTAACCAATTCAAATGTGATTTGAACTATCATTTGTATGGTTAAATTTTTGGAGTAAATTTAATTTTTTGTTTCTTTTCTAGGGATGTTATCGGTTTGAACCGTTCAAACCGATGACATCCCTATTTCGTATTATCCAGTAAAATAAGATATAAACAATCAAAGCGTATTCAATCATATAATGTTATTTCAAAGTTCTCATAAATTGAATAAATCGAGTATAGATCACGTGAAATTGGTTTCACTCATGTAATTTTTGGTTTAATAATATGTATGCTTGTATATGTTCTGGGCCAAATTTAAGATAAATGATTGGGTAATTTAACTTACACGTGATTTATTCTGAAATGGTCAAAAAAATATAATTATTTATTTTATAATTATGAGTTTTGATAAAAATTATATTTAATTTGAATAAACTATTAAAAATCAGAATTTTTTAAAGAAATAATATTCAGATATATTAATATTTAAAAATAATAATATTTATATATTTAATTCAATAATAGTAATGATTTCAAGAATTATAAAAGATATTGATTTTGAGAATATTATCTTTAAAAAATTTGATTTTGAGAATTATTAAATTAAAATAGATATTAATTAAAAATTAAAAGAATTTGATTTAATTATATTTTTATAAAGAGATATAATTATATATTTATTTTTATATATTGAATATTTTTTAATCAATTAATAATATTTTATAAACAAATAAAAATTATTTGAATATTAATTTAATACTTTAATTTTATATTTTTTAATATTTAATAATTTATAAAAATCTTATATATATTATTATTATTAATATATGATAACTAACAGAATTATAAAATCAGAATGTTGATTTATTAATAAAATATAGCAAAAATAATTTTTTTTTATTAAAATTTATAATTTTTACAATAATAATTTTATTTTTATATTAAAAACAAAGCTTATAATTTATAATTTAATATATATTTTTTAGATCTTTTAGTTTTTCTAATGAGAATGAAATTTAATTAAAAAATTTTGTGATAACTCTATAATTAAAACAACTCATTCAGAAAAAAAATATAATAAATTATAAATATTTTAAAATAAAAATAAAAATAAAAAATATTATTAAAATTATAAAAGAGATAATTTAAGATTTTATTATAAATTGATCTCTTGTCATGTTATTATTATCTTTTTATTGTTTATAATTCTATTAATAGTATTTGTAATTAGACTCAAGAGGATTATATTATTTTAAATATAATTTGCGAGACTGATAATTAAAAATTATAAAAAACTACGATATATTTTAGTTGATTTCAATCCTTAAAAATTTTCGAAGTGTAGAAAAAATTGGTTAGAAGAGAAGGCCATTGAACATCATGCGGGTGGATTAAGATCCGCCCTGCGTTGACTCATATAAATCGTATTTTTGCCTTTACAGATTGACCGGAATTACAGTCGAGATGTGAAAAAACATGCTTTCATCAGTTGTTAGGCGGCTACAGAAGTATTTTCTAACAATAGTGTTGATGCTAACATTTTTAGTTCTTCAAATAAGGTAAATTGCTTGATCTTTGACTTTAAAGTTCACTATCAACCACACGGAGAGAAAAACCAATGGCACCTGATATCGCTATATATCCAGGTTTGAGGATTATCCCGGAATCTGGACCCAATTTCTTCACTTCATGACGAGGACTGGTTGTAAAGCCCATCACAGAGCTCCTTGCAGATATCTTAAGATGCCTCCAGTTGACAAATCGGTATGTGCGAAATTGCTTTTCTCAAAGTTTTAATGAATGGAACGCAAAATGTGAGCTTTAGATGCAACAACAATATGTAAGAAGTGTATTTGGAGTTTATTATGAAAAGGTAAGATTGTCCCAACATTGTGATCAACCTTTAAGGTTTGAGTTTGCTAGTAACTCGATTTATTACAATGGTGGTTTGCATTGATTCACGTCTTCCTGCGTATAAAATTTAGTGATTGGTAGAGTTACTGCCTATAGATTTGTATTAGATCCAACTAGTCTTACAAAATCAAAAAAATTAGGACATTAATTAGCTGCAGAAAAAAATTATCATTAATCCCAATTTGTGCTCGTTCCTGACTACATGCATTATATGTGTCGTCAACTATTAAAAATTGAATTCAGAGTTGGAGTTAGGATTAGAGTTGAGTCAAAAGTTATATGTAAAATTGCTTTACCGGCATTTTGATTGAGCTTCAAGTCAAATTTAGACGTCTGTTCTCTCTATTTTTCTCATTTTTTTATTTTCATTTCTTTCGTGTTACAGTAAATAAACTTATTAACTCTTTGATTGGCTGCTTAGACCAGATTTTTTGCATTCTTGAGTGTGCGCCAGGTTATGCAGACCCTGGTAAACGTTAAATATTGATTTTGAGATAAATGTTAGGGTCAGGGTTGGAATGGAAGAAAAGTAGTATGTAAGATTTTATATAAAATTATCTTCTCGTCATTTTTTATTAATGTTCCAGGCTAGATTTGAAATATTCGTTTTCCGTTTTTATCAATATTGGTTTGTGCCACCTGTGCCACTTTAAGAAAACACAAAATTCCATAAAAAGTTGAACACGTGATATTTATCCAATAAATGTGTTATGCGAAAATTCAAAACAGAAAAATTGCAAATAAATTTTTATTGTGATCTACCTTTTGATCGCCAAGCAAAAACAGCGCAAAAATTTTCGATATAAAACTGTTTTTCGAGTTGTTAGATAAACACTTTATTCTAACCTCCGAAAATATCACGTGTTCGAGCTTTTTAGAAATCCGAACACTGATTATATCTACGTCTCGAAGTTTGTAAAACGTCTCAGCTTGCATAATCAATTTTTTTTATTTCTTCATATTGTATTACTAAAAAATGATCGAATGTTTTGATAAATCTGAATCTGGATGGTGAACGCTTGATGATCCGGCCGAGTGATATTTCATGCAATAAGAAAAAATCTTGAAAAATCGCAATCAACTTATATCAGGGATGCCAAGCTGGAAGCCGATCAAATGTACACGGAATTAGAGGCAAGTATTAATTTTCATTTGATGTTGAATTTACACATTTCGCGTCTGGGTTTGAAATGTTAGTTCGCTGTGGTTCGGGAGTGTCTTTTGTCTTCTGTGGCACAGATAGTCGTCTGCAATGAATTGTTAGCTCGATACAGCTCTCAAGTGTAAAATAATAATCTCTCATATAAAGAATAATTTTAAAGTTGATTTATTGTGAAATTTTGTGGTCTTGGAAATTGCATAAGACGTGCCATGATCTGCTTCAAAGGCCCTTCAGATAATGTTATTTCGCAAGCACTTTCGTACTAGAAAAATGATGTGGAGCATATGTAGGTGATTCATTATCTAACTTTCCTATTTTCTTGCATTGCCAATTATTTTATCTTTGTCCTATAGACTGTGCGGCGTCAAAAACAAAAAGTTTTTATATCTTTGAAATTTGCTAACCCATTTTTCTGATGTAGTCAAAATATCTGCAAGAGCATACAGCCACAGTAGTAATGAGCTCACCACTTTTGATCGTAAAGGTAAAAAAGTGTATTGAATGAAGATGCGGGATAAGATGTGGAAGAGGAACACAATGTGAAGCCATCATTAGCTGAGGTTCTGTATCTCTTAATTTGATGTGTTTGTTGATCCATTTTTTTATGTTGTGTTCAAGAGTTTCAGTGTTGGATCGAGGAAGATGATAATTCTGATGAAAGGGAAGTAAATCTTGATTTTAAAATGTTTCGTTTAATGGATGGGGATGGATTTTAATGGGAGGGCCAGAAATTATGTGATTACCTCTTCAAATAAGGTTCCCCGGTGATATATAATATCACATGACACATATAAAGTCACATGACGTGATTTTGAGCTTCTCCCCTTCCAAATTTTAGTCACGTAATTTCTAACCCTCCCCTAAACAACGGCGAAAAAGCTAGGATGTGATATTAAAAAATCACACTGAAAAAGCAAATTAATCAAAGAAAGTAGATGTAAAGACTCTGAGCATCGTAAGGTATATCATGTTTGTTAAGAAATTTATACATTAACCACTGATATGCACATGTATAGGCTTGGTCTTTCATCAATCATCGATTGTGTTTGGCGTTCGATGAAGGAATGGACACGTGGTTTGGAGAATATTGGGAGCTTGATACGAAGTTTCGGAGAAAATAAATTTCGAAGTAAAAACTTGAAGAGACACTTTATTCGATATCATGACGTTCGTAAAAATGTGTTGATTTTTTTGCTGCATTGTACTTGTAACATTTAACTATATTAACTCCTTAATGTTTAGTTACTTTTATTGGGAGGCACGTGCTTATGTATTGGATGACCCAACATCCCGACAATCCATCTTACTCGACAGCCTAACATCCCGCCTAATCCAAATTCCCGAAATTCAGCATTCTGACAAATTTAACTTCTCAACTTCCCGAAAAAACTAGTTCACTTTCTGGTTTATGTCTGGAAATTGAGTTTTGCGGGAATTTGGGTATGTCAGGATGTTAGGCTGTCGAGAAGTATGTTGGATTTTCAGGATGATGGTAACGGGATGTTGGAGTGTCTTGAAGATGGTTGGAGTAGACTCTCTTTTATAATTTTTTTAGCTTCTTACAATTATTCTCAAAACATTACTAGAATTGATATGCTGTTATTCTTTTGTTAATAAGAAAGGAGCCTAGAGTTTTCAATGATCATAATAATAATAATAATATTTACTGGAAATAATTGGTAAGTAATAATTTATAGTATGTGATTTTATTAGTTGTGCAATTGTTGTGTTAATTTTTAAATTATGACTAGTTTAGGAAGAAAACAAACAAGTGTATCAGGTGAAACAATAACAGAGAAATTAAATTTTGTTATTATATCGATTTACTTGTTATTTAATAAATTTTGTAAACGTATTTTATATCGCACCTCTATTATAAAAGTACATTATTTGTTTTTTCTTATAGTCACGAATTACTCGAATTATGCAAGAAATCTGTGCCAGGTTTTGTCGATCATCAGCCAGCAACTAATACAGTCAAAGTCCTTTATAACGGTGCATTGAACTAATCCATTTAGGCCGATATATTGAGGTTTTCGGTATAGCAAATTGGTAAAGGTAACGTATATAATGAATGTTAATATTACAAATCTTGCCCATATTACCCAGTTTACCAATATTACCTGTTTAGATTTCCGTTACATCCAGACAATTCATAATTCCCAACAATTTAAACAATTCATCTTCCAGACAGTTTAAACAACAATCCAACTTCCCGAAATAGTTTGATAAAAATGATAATTAATGTATCTTGTAACACTGATCGATACAAAAAGCATGAGGTAAATGCATACTTTGACGATGTTAAATTGTCGGGAACATGAACTGTCGCGATGTTGAATTGTCGAGATTTTGTTTGCCGGGCTATGGGATGTTGGGATTTTGACTGTCGGGATGTTTGGATGGTTCCACATCCAGTTTCCTTGATTGCAGATTGCATATTCGACGCTTCATATGCCCGACAAACGACATCCCGATGCACGAAGTCCCGAAATAATTTTGGTATTCATGCTATAATTTTGGGTTATGATGACTATACTGCAAGTCATATTGATATAAAACAAAAAGTAAGTAAACTACATGTTTAATTATTAATATCTTGTTTGTTCGGGATGCCCTTCATTTGGGATTTCGATCATTCGGGATTTGCCATTATTTCGAGATTTCGTTTGTTGGGTTTATGAACTGTCAGGATTGTGTTCGTCGGGATTTCGTACCAGACTCGCGTTGTTATTGTACCTATTGTAAAAGACTAAAAGTTAAACAATCGAAGGTGGGCAAGATACTGTAGGCGAAAACGAGAGACAAGAATGAGTGGGCAAGAGAAAAGCGTAATTAAGTATTGCATTTCATTTGAACTTTTAAACGATCTTACTTCAACGCATTTATATACATACATACATACATATGGCTTTCGAAACATTTGACTAACATTTCCTTTATTATTACCAGTTGATTATCATTACCTGACTGCTCGATTATTATCAACATTACCAACAAATAATGTTGGCTTACCAGTAACGGTAAAGGGATTCACCTTACTTACCAATTAGAGATATCTTACCAGTTTGAGATAGATTCAAACCGATAATCCGCGAATGAAATTTTCTTGTCCCATAAGTGTAGATGGTTATTGTTTGGGCGTGTCTGGTGAATTACTTTTTAAGAATAATCTAGCAAAAATAGGCAAAATGGACACCAATTTCGAAGGCGTTTCACTTTACAGGGAGACATTAGTTTTTCGTGATCTTTGCACTGCTCTGTTCATAGAAACCTCAACAATAATTTTGTTTTAGGGAACTTTGTGCGTTGACTGACTTTGGACAAAAAATTCACATGTACACACCCCTACAATATATTACCGGAAATCCTAAAAACGAATCTGCCACTTTGAAATCCAATATCTCAAAATTCAATGATCCAATTTAAATGAAAATACTCCATTAAATTTGTCCCGACTCCAGAAATCTTATGGTAATATCTTTATTTAAATGAGATCACTGGATTATGAGAAATTGGGTTCCAAAATGATAGTTTCATTTTTGAAATTTCCGGTAATATATTGTAGGGGTGTGTATGATTAATCGATTTTTTAAATCGATCGACATAATATGCTTAATTTTTTACGTGTGACAAATCGTGTGACTGATATTACATCGAAAACAAAACGAACAAAAAAATGGCAAACGTTGAAGAAGTTAGACAAGCGTTGGCGAAGGCGAAGAAGGAGCTACAGGAGGCGAAGGGCGAGCTGAAGGAGTTTAAGGATGGGAGATATGAACGGAGACTGACGACGTTGGAGAATAAGTTGTGGAATGAGGAAGGAACTGCGGCGCAGCGAACCGAATGGAAGGAGGAGAAGAAAGAACTCACGGCAGAGAAGGAGAGACTAGAGAAGGCGAAGGAGGATCATTTGAAGCAGGTGGAGGAGCTGCAGCGAGCCCTCACGGCAGCAACAACAACTACAACGCAGACAGGTAACGGCTTTGTGACTCTGGCGTTGGGGACATAGAGTAGTGTGTACAAGGTAGAGTAGACGTGATGTTAATTTACGCCTTCATTAACAATGCAATCAGTGTTATCTCATGGTACAAAGCGTACACATGAAAAAGCCGCGGGTCTGATCGTCATTTCTGAAAGTCGCCTAAACAAAATTTGTGGAAATTGGATTACCAATAAGATTAACCTTTTGCGCAGTCCTCCGTCCTCTGGAAAGACAACACTAGCCAAAGTTCTTGAAGGACATTTCAAAAGTCAGAGGTTCATAGTCAAATATATTACGTTCGCGCACTGGCATCGAGATGAATTTCCGGATCTCCTACATAATAATAAGACCTTTGATGCATTCTGGAGAAAAGAAGTTCAGTGCACATGGTCTGAATGTGCCAACAGCAATGATCCAATATTTGTCCTCATTGACGAGGCCCAGATACTCTATGATGGTGATGGAACCTTGGCTTTCTGGAATGACATGAAATATTATACTGACCACCCGAAAGATGGCTTACACGTACTCCTACTGTGCATGTATGAGGATCGAAACCCAGGAAGTGCTATTCTTAAGGACAATTATACACCAGTTGACTTTATTAATCCAATGGGATTGGACGAATTACGCCTAACAGAAGATGAATTTAAAGAACTAACAAGAAAATTCACTGAATA